GTCGCCCGCCCACACTGAGGCTCGCCCCTTGCCCCACCCCCAGCACGCCCCCCTCTAGGACACGCCCCTTGCGCCGCCCTCTGCCATCCACTGCGCACGTCAGAACACGCCCTTGCACCGCCCTCCACCCTGGGTCCCTCAAGGAAGGCGCAGTCCAGCTCCAGGGCGCGTCCCCCTCGCAGCCCCAGCTCGTGGTGCCCAACACTCAGGCTCGTCCCTGTCCCACCCCCAGCACGCCCACCCCCCACCCCCCACTCTAGGACACACCCCGTCCTGCTCCTGGCTCCCAAGTCCCCCATCCCGCTCCAGCACAGCTGTGCCCGGCCTTATGACCTCCCCACACAGCCCACTAAAAACCGCAGGGTGCGGACCCTTGACTCCTCCATCCCCGCCCCCTGCCACAGCTGGATCCCCCTCCCAGCGCTAGGACTCGCTGGTCCTGCTCTGGGTCCTTCAGTCCGCCCACTGTGCCCTCCAGTGTCCCCGTCTCTGCAGCAGTGAGACTGGCCAGCGATCCCCCACTCCCATGGCGCACAAGATCTACAGCAGCCCCCGCCCCTTTCCTCAGGCTACCCTCCCCCCACACACACACACTGTGACGTCACATTGACTCCTCCACCCTGCCCTCCCCGGTTGCCCCACCCCCAGCGCTTACTGGACAACCGAGTCCCTCTGGGTCCTGGGGCAGGTGGAGTCCAGGACCCTTCAGTGATGCTCCTAGTAGCCCCTGGGGCGGTGGGGCGCCTGGCCCCCTGTTCAGACGCTCAGGGACTCTCTTCTCTGCCGGCTGCCCTGGTCTCTGGGGTTGCTGTGAATCCCCACCTGTGGTTTAAAATCCTAGTGTCCCTGCTGGTCCTGTCCTCCCAGTGTCCTGCCTGCCCCTTAGCGCAGCCTTGGCTCCACGCACTGTGGGCCAAGGCGCCTGCCAACCATCAGCCACCTCCTGACCCACCGAGGACCCCACACGCAGGCCCCGGGCTCTGAACCCCAACTCTCGCCAAGTTGGGCCACACTTTACTGAGAGTTGAGCTCAAAWGACCTTAACACAGAGGACCCATTTAGTGACAAAACAAACTCAGAGACCATGACTTGCACAACAAGAAAGGGTGTTTCCAGGGTCACCCCTGTGTGTGGGTAGCGACAAAAGGTCACCACAAATGCACTCAGTRATTGTTCCTTAATTTAGTGGTCAGAAATCTCCCAGGATTCAGTTCCCGAATGTCCAAAAATAAGTGGGAAAAAACAGAAAGTGAAAAACTTGTAAGTTAGGCATTTGTCACAGCACATTGTTACAACTGTTTTATTTGGTTATGATTTGCCYTGTTAATCCTTTGCTGTGCCTAGATTATAAATCATACGTTATGACAGGCATCTATGTATACTAGAAAGTATAGGGTTAGGTACTAGCTGAACTTTCTACTTCCTCTGAGAGTTTTGGAATGTGTCCCCGGAGGACAAACAGGGAACCTCTGCTCTGTTTTCATGGGGTTGAGGGCACCTTCTCATTATGAGGGCTCAGGTTCTGATTGCTTGCTGAGAATCTCCAGTTTGGGTGCAGGGAGGAAATGGGCCTCTTAGCGTCATCTTGATTGTGTGGCCATTAGCAGTAGGGACTCCACCCTGGTTTGCTTTGGGCTGTTGGACCCTGTGCAAAACCAGAGGCTTCCCCACAGCTGGATAATTCTCTCGGTGCTCAGTTGGCATCATAGTGTTAGACCAGGATGCAAGAAAAGTCCACTGACTCCAATTAAAATCAAATTAAAGCAAGCTGATTATTTCAACTGGCCAGGCTGCCTCTCCCTCCCAAAATGGCAGGAACAAGACAGCCCAGCCCAGCTTTCCTGCAGCCCAGCTGTATAGCCCAGAAAGTTACACAAAGGGGGGTTACAGATAACACAACTCTGACAAGCATCACAATAATGGTAGTTTACATTTTTTGCTGGCCCCAACATCAGAATTTATGAGGACCATTAGAGCCTCAGAGAGGGTCATTGTCTGGCCAGGGAAGGCCAAGATTTATGAGGTGTCACTAAAGTTTCAGAGAGGGCTGCTATCTGGTCAGAGAGCCAGGCATGGGTGAGTTCAAGGCACGGGCAGGCATTCCAAGCAGGTTCAGAGTTTGCAGTAAATTATAGTAAAGCCAAAATTAGCTTTTCATGGCTTTGTGGCGAGGTGGCTCCCAATTTTAAGAAAAGATCAGGTTGGGTCTATCAATAGGAGTGCGATTCAAGCCCTCCCCAGACCCCTGACATCTACATATGCATGGTGTATACTTCACAAGCCAAATCCTGTACATTTATTTTCTGCCTTTTGTTTTCCTCTGCAGGGATTCCACGCTGCTTCTCCTCTTTGTATGTTGGCTTCTGCAGACCTGTGAGCCGAAATCACCGAAGGCCTCCAAGCCAAACATCCTGCTGATCTTGGCAGATGATCTGGGCATCGGGGATGTTGGTTGCTATGGGAACGATACACTGAGGTAGAGTGCTGTTTGGGTGGTGGGGTGGTGCTGTGTGTGTGTGTGCAGTTTAGTGGAATAATTTACTTAAAATCGACCAGTGCAAATGAAATTTCTTAGTGCTGTGGAACTCAGCACCAAACATGATTCTCTCCAAGAGTAAAAACAGGGTCTTACCGCTCTCAAACAACTTGAGGCCGGGCTGAGTTTGTGAGGGTTTTCCTKGGGCTGCTGTAATAAATAACCAAAAACAAAGAGACTTAAAAGTAATCCCTAGAGGGCAGAAGCTGGACCAGGGTCCCAGCTTGAACTCCCTGCACAGGCTCCAGGGAGGCTCCTCCTGCCTCTCCAGCTCCTGGGCTCCAGGTGGCCCTGGGCTGGTGGCCCCTCACTCCAGTCTCTACCTCCATCTCCATGGGGCTCCTCCTCTGTATCTGTGTCCCCTCCTCTGTCTCTGGGGAGGACACGGCCATTGCATGAGGGCCCCTTGACCCAGGAGGAGCCCATCTCAGGACCCTTCACTGACGACCTCTGCAGAGACCCTGTTCCCACACCAGGTCCCATTCACAGGTTCTGGGGTCCAGCTGTGCACAGGACCTGCCTCTTACAATGGTGTCCAGCTCCCTCCACGGGCTCCAGGGAGCTCCTCCTGCCTCTCTCAGCTCCTGGGGTTCCAGGTGGCCCTTGGCAGAACAATATGGTGGCCCCTCAAAATCTTAGGATTGAATCACACTATGATTCAGCAATGCCACCGCTGGGTTCAGACCAAAGGATTTGAAAGCTATGGGTCCAAAAGATACTCACATATCCTGTGTTCCACAGAAACCCTGATCCCCAGTATGACTGGAGACTATGGCCAAAATGGGGGCCAAGGAGAAGGTCTGAATGGGGGTCTTTGGAGGCCAGAGGATCTTAGGGAGTGGGGTATTTTCTTATTTTGGCTAAACTGTATGGAGGATTACACACAGGCTTGTAAAATTGTCCTCCATTCTGAGCCCTTTATTCTCAGGTTAGCAAATCACTAGAATTTTACCCCAAATCCATCAGCATGCATCTTATGTATCCATCCATGACCGAGCCATCCCTTCACCCACCCATCTGTCCATGTTTTCATCCAGGCATCATCCATTTGTCTATCTGCCCATCCACCTATGTTGGATGGATGGGTGGATGGGTGGGTGGGTGGGTGGATGGATGGGTGGATGGGTGGATGGATGGATGGGTGGATGGATGGGTGGATGGGTGGATGGATGGATGGGTGGATGGGTGGATGGGTGGGTGGATGGATGGATAGGTGGATGGATAGATGTGTGGATGAATGGATGGATGGATGGATAGATGGATGGATGGGTGGATGGATGCATGGATAGGTGGATGGATGCATGGATGGATGGGTAGATGAATGGATGGATGGATGGATAGATGGATGGATGGATGGATGGATGGATGAGTGGATAAATGATTGGATAGATGGATGGATGGACAGATGGTTGGATGTGTGTATGGATGGATGGGTGGATGGGTGGCTGGACAGATGATTGCATAGGTGGATGGATAAATAGAAAGTTAGACAGGGATATAGAATTTTACTGTGAGAAACTGGCTGAGGTTTGGAGGCTGAGAAATCTCACCATCTGCTACTCATAAGTTGGGGCCCCAGAGAGTTGCTGGTAAAGTTCAGTAAAAGTCCGAGGACATGAGAACCAGGAGCCCTGTGTGCCAGGGCAGGCGAAGGTGGACATGCAGCTCCCTCCACCTATGTGCAGTCTAGGCCCTCTGCAGCTTGGGGGCATTCCCACCACCTCACCACACAAAGGGCTGGAAAGAGACGCCCGCTCCTCCCCAGCCTGCAGCTTCTGTGTGGGGCTCGAGAACTTCTGCGCAGCCGGAGGAAAGAAGGGCACAGCAGGGCAGTCGGGGAAGACTTCCTGGGTGGTGGCCCCTGGGCAGAAGCCCTCAGGGTGACCAGGCCTGGACTGGGCTGGGGGAAGGGGCCACTCCTTTGCAGGGCAGGGGATGAGCTGCCCATGACAGGCCACACCCACAGCAGGGGAGTGGTCCTGAGCAGCCGTCTCTGCTGAGCCCGTTTCCATGTGGGGGAGACCGGG